TCCTCACCCCATGACTGCATGAGGCTTTGGGGGGACAACTAGACACAAACCATAACATGAACAATTGGTTTTCAGCACTTCATATGAGCCTGGTGCTGGTCTCTACTGGTGTGAGACCACATTTATTATGTCTTTCAGAGCCTAAGTCACCACATTAATAAAAGCAAATGAGTGAAAATATTTACCTCAGAGTCACCATTAAAATAAATGAGATGACATATAAAAGGGATGGGTGCAGATCCTCCCTTTGATGAGCCCAATGGAAATATAATATTAAAATTTTTGTCATCAGCTTGTGACCCATGGCACAACTTTTAAGCTAACATTTCCATTACCATATAAACTAAGATGAAGCAAGACCTTCCAAATAGCATGATATGAAGAATAAATGCAGGCTGCTGAGAAGGAAAGGAGAAGGGCAATTGTTAGGTACTACTCTTCATACTATTATGAAGTCGCCTGCAGCATGCCTCTTCCTTGACTTCTAATATAAATGCTAAAGACAAAAATCATTATCATTAAACGGTAGTTAAAGGCGAATGCTTGGCTCCTTTTTTATTTTAATCACATGGAGCTCTATGGCCTCTGCTGATAACACAATACATCTTATTACATTGAGGTAGTAAAATTCTAAGCTCTGCCTCAGAGAATTTATATCTCAGAATATTATGTCACCTACTCCTTACTTTGGTAGGCACTTGGTAATAATCTTTAAAGATACATTTTTCCCTGCACAGCTTTTGGCATCTGCCTTCCTTTAAAAATATCACGTATCAACTCTGCTTCCTCATTTGGTCAAGCTGCTAGCCTCAGGGAGTGAGATGCATTTAGAAAGTGTTATCCAAATAAACTTGAAGTAAAGTGGCCTGTCATTAGAAACAGTTGATTTAGATTAAAGTGCCCTTATAAACATATGTATTAGACTTAAGGAAAATGTTATACTGCTACCATTTAAAGCTGCTTAAAATAGTTGTTGCATAGTTACAATCTTCTTTTTACAAATGCTGGAAAAGAGAGCATGAGAGAGTTAATTCATTAGCACAGCATACATCACTGCCATCCATGGCGTGTTGTCCAAAATGTGTATGAGCAGTATTTGGTCATGAAATTAGAACGTAGGATGTAAAACATTGTTAGGAAGTTAATAGAACTTGGATGTTCTACACAACAAGGCAACCATTTAACCAACTCCCAAAGTGAGAACTTGCCTTCCCTTTAGAAAACTTTCCACTCATAAGAGAATAAACAAAATTTCACTACTTCCTTAATGACATCACAATTTTTTTTTTCCATTATCAATTTATCATTACTGAAGAAAGGTGTTGAAAGGGCCAGGCAGATAGCTCAGTAGAATAAGCACTTGCCTGGCAAGTGCAAGATCCTGAGTTCAATCCCTGGTACCAAAAAAATGAAAAGTGTTGAAAAGTCTTTGTAATATTGCATACATGTGTTATCTTTTTCATTATCTTTTGTATTTTTTCATAGCACATTTTCAAAAAAGAGTTGCTTATTTTAACTAATATGACTGCTGAAGCACTGAGGAAAATATTCTGACATTCTTCCTTGGTGTTATAGCCATGCACACTTAGCCATGAAAGGTAAGCCATTCCCAAGCAGTTCATCTATACATAATATGGAATTAAGTGTGCTATTTTCCTTTTTGAATAATCCTACCTACCTAAGCTGTCCTTCTTCTTACAAGAATTCTATGGAGACACAGCCGTAACAAAAGTTTACTGCTATGGAAAAAGGAGACTATCATTTATCTAGCAGATTTAACTATGCAAGTGACTTAAAATATTGTCATTTCATCTTAGAAACATTATGTCTATTTTCCAAGATATGATTTCTATTTTAAGTTTGATCATTGTGACTACTAACCTGTGTTATTCTCCTTTAAATAATACTAAATTTTTAATATAAAATATTCCCTGCAAATTCTTTAAGCTTGTAACACACTGATTCTAACAGACCCACAGGGTTGAGGCATGTTGCTGCTTTTTATTGCAGAACAATTTTGCTAAAACATATTGTAAGTCAAATAGGTGCAATGACTTTCAACATTTTCCATTTCAAAACAGCAAAATTATCTAAATGCTTTTATTTCACAAAACAAATATATTGCTGACAGCAAAGCATTAAATCAGCTTTAGAAGTCTCATAGTTTGAAATTAAGTTTCAGAATAATAATAAGCATTGCCAAACAGGTGCAGAGGTAAGTGTTCCTAAGGAGGCTAACCTTTCAGTTTGTCCTCCAGCAACTAGAACTTTGGAGGACATCATTTGTAGCCTGCAATTATCTGAATGCATCTCTTCAAACTTCTTGAGTTGAAACAACTGTGTGAGAGGATTAAGAGGCTAAACATTTGGAGAGTGACTCAGTGTCTCTTCGCTCAGTAGGAGGAGTAGCATCCTCATAAAAGAGGTGGGGTGAAGCAGTTTGCACCAGCACTATGTGGAAGCACAGCAAGAAGTGCCATCTTGGAAGCAGAAAGTTGACTTTGCCAGAAATGAAATGAATCTGCTAGCACCTTGGTTTTGCAGAGTTGTACAAAATAAGTTTTTGATTTATTGAGTCATTCAGTTTCAGATATTTTGTTAGAGAAGAAGGAGCAGACTAAGATGGATCTTAAAATATTTGTAAACGTTTATACCTCAGTGCATACAAATGTACATACATACATGCTTGCATTCTTAATGTGCTTCTATCCTTGTCATTTCTTGCAAGTCATCAGGTCTATGGCAACATGAGTCACAAGGACAAGTTAGCTGATGATCACATGAACTATAAGTAAGTATAAGTGGAATAGGCCATAAACATGAAGAAAATGACAACTGTGACCAAATAGCACTTCCTATTTTTAGGTCCTGGATGTCCCTGAGTGACATCTTTCCTTGTCAAAGCATACTAACTTTTAATGCTATTGTTAGTATTATATATATTTTTACTTTGTTTTCAATGCAACCACTAACTTCATTATGCCTCAGATAATTTAGCAGATATTTAGCTCTGGTTGACTTACTGTTTTCCACTGGCCAGGAGAGAAAAGCCATACCCTGGCTTTAGTATCAGCCAGAGCAGGACAGAAGTGGAGTTGAAGAAGGCCAAGAAGACTTGGCAATTAATCACAACTTGCCACAGATTTAGAACGAATTGAACACATTTAGGAGATTTATTACAGAAACCAGTCAGAAAGAGAAATGAAAAAGCTAACAGTCTACCAAAGTGCCATGAAGAAGCTTAAAACATCTGGGCAAAAAAGCAGCCACAGGAAAAAAAAATTTTTTTGAACTTGTGCAGAGACCCCTAGAAACTATATCGGCTGTTAACCTCTCAACAGGAAGATGAGTCTAAGCACATGGAGATACAAATTCAGCTACCAGTAATGTCCTTCCCAGGGAACTACCAGCCAGGTACAACACTGCCAGTTAACATAAGTATCAGTATGAGCTTACTAGGACCTTTCATATTTTCCTATAGAAAACCCTAAAATTATGTGCTTATACTGGTATATAAATCACCTCTCTGGGAATTTGGTGAGTCATTCCTGTAGAGTTCTGGTTGCTTGTGAAATGCACTTTCATCCTGTCAGTATCTGTTTCAGTTAATTTTTAGGCTCTCATGTGTTTCAAGTTGGTGGACGGAAAGAATTCCTCCATGCAGCTCTTTACATAGAAAAGCCAGAAGTGTGGTTTTAAGCTAAATATTTTGGAGTTAAAAAAAATCACAACAAATACAGACATTTTGGATCAAAGACGGAAATGAAGCAAGAGAGAGAATAGATAGAAAAACATGCATCTCAAACACCACTGATATTTAGAAGTATGCTGAATGTACCATGATAGTGACTGGATTATTATACCATTAAACAATGAACCAGAGTAAAACAAAGCAACCTTAAGGTTAATATCTTTTGCTTGGGAAAAATCTTTAATAGTTTACATTATGTGAAGCATGAAAATGCACTTGATTTCTGAAGCATTTGTCTAATAAAAACTAGCTAGGAAGACTTAATTAAGACTACAGCATTGTTGATTTTCACAAGGTAAAATATAATAATAGGACAATAGGTGATATTACAGAAAAGCAGTTTCTTCAGATACAATGTTAACATCTTCAGAATAATCATCTGTTCCCTTACTAACATAAAATAATCACAAGGACATGAATAGAACATCAGGGCAGCATCTTCTTTAAATTTCTGAAAAATAAAAATGCACAGCCCTGCTGAATGAATATCCAAGAGGCAAGGACACTCTCTAAAGTTCAAATTCATTCAATCTAATTCTCTGCTCTCTCTTACATTAAGGCCAAAAATGAATATCAACCATTTTTATTAACTATGACCCTCATTTATTAAATACTAAAACCTGCTAGTGAAAAATACCTCCAATGTGGTGATATGTACTTTACAATTTATGCATAAAGTTATGCAGATAAAGTTATAACAGGCTTAAAAAGTTATACAAAATTCTGTCAACTCTCACATTAATTTGAGAACTTTCTTTCTTAACCATGAATATTGAGTTCTGTAGTATTATCTAATAGTGATGGTGATAATCCCTAACACAATAAATGTAAACTATAATGGACAGGCCTTGTTAGAAGGACAGCATGGAGAGTAAAGAAAGGCTGTGAAATTTTATGAGTTTTACTGAGAGCTAAATATCTTGTCTCCAGAATTTTTATTTAATTTGTTGTCATGTTTCTGAAACTTTGTTTCCTGACCTCCAGGTTTGACTAAACTCCATATTGATTTTTCAGTGGTCAATGACCAGAAAATATTTTAAAATATATCTACTTACTTAAAAGAGAAACATAATGAAATTGAAACATTTAAAATATTTCTGGTTTCAATTTTATTATTAATTACTGGAGAAAGGTAGAAAATACATAATATTAGATCAGTTTTGTTCAAGGATTTGTAATATAGCTAAGAATACGAATCTAAGCAAATAGATACCCTAAACTGCTTCACTAGCAAAGGATAGTGACAAGTTAGGTAACCAGAACACAAACACAGTGAGATACAAGTAATAAATTCCAGCATTCTGGAAAAGAGTGGAAAGATCATAGATTTTTGTTTTGTTTTTGTTTTTTAATGTGTTTGGTACAGGATCTCACTACACAGCTCAGACTCATAATGATCATCCTGTTTTCAGCCTCCCAAACCTCTGGGATTATAAACCTGTGCCACCACGCCCAGTCTCCGAGGCAGGTTTGGAACACCCTGGGGGCAGGACTGGTGGGCCACGTGGTGCAAGGGATCAAACCATGGTCCTTGTGCTTGCCTAAGCAGGCACTTAGTCCACTGAGCTGTCTCGCAGGCCCTCCAAGATCATAGTTTATAATAGCTCTTACATAGTTTATGAATATATGAGACATTCAAAGGCTCAAGCACAAATTAATAAAACGATAATATCAGTTATTATTAATGAAGCTGTATACTTTATATACACGTATTGAAATCTTATGTGAGGCCCCAATATTATGTATAGTTACTAGTTATTAATAAAAAACTTCTTAAAAATGTTTCAAGAGCTGGAAAGGTTAAGGAAAACAGCCGTGGAGTTTGGAAGGATAATCCATGAAGTAGTAAAGTTCGGATTTACGATGAGGGGTAAGATGAGAAAGAGCGTGATGAGTTTCACAGTCAGAAGCCCGAGCACCAGGAAGAGGGAGGGAAAGCAGTCCGGGCGGAAGACTGCGTCATCGATAGATCTGGTCTACTCAGCTAAATGGAAACCGAGCATCTTTCTCAAGCCATCACGGTTCTTGGGGAGAGAAATACCATTTGTATCACCCAGTGTCATCCCTTCTTAACAAGTTTTGTTGCCTTACTTATAAAAATGAATAAAAAAATGGAAAAGATATTTAAAAATGTTGACTAAAGAATGATCAGAAAGTGAAAAAAATCAAAATATTAACTGTATTATTCATTAAAGAAAAATAACTATAGATGATATAGACATGCCCACATAGCAGAAAGACCTAAACGTCTAAAGACTTGCAGAGGTTCTATTTTACTACTTCTCTCTCTTATGCCCTTATTCCAATCCTTAGTTATTTCATTAAAAAAGAGTAGTGAGTATCAAAAACCCTGCAGTTTCCTTCTGGTTAAGGTCATAGGACACTGTTATATATGTTTCAAAATATTGGCAACCTCGCCTTAGTTTTAAAACTCATAGATGAGATGTTAAATTATAGCTTTTAAAATAATAGTGTACTTACATTTTGGCCCACTTGTCTAATTCTTCTTCAAGATATGTTTTAACCATTTTTGGTTGAAGGCCAAGAGAATGTCCCAAGAAGTAGATGGCATCATCATCCTTATTCACTAAAGATAAATCAACTGAAACAGAAGAAAATACAAAAATTCATATTGAATTAATTAAGATTTTCATTTGGTATTGTTAATCCATGACAAACAGTTCATACAATTAACTCCAAAAAGGATAATAACCTACAATTACTCTGAAATGAAACATCAGGTTCTTTGAAAAGTAATTAACCTTTTGTATTTATATATTAAAATATAGTTTAGTCCTATAGAGGAACTTGTGGAGATAACTCACTTTTCTTCAGCTACAGAAGAAAATCTGAATTAGAAATTCCTTCCAAAAATAATAGCCAAAGGTAACAGAGTTAAAAACAGAAAATTATGAGAAATCTATCACCTAATTTTATTGGGTTAGATGGTTACTAGAATATAGGCAAGTATTAACACACTGCATTCAAGAGTGTTATAAGCATGACAAATTTTTAAAACCTAAATAATTATATATCCAAAGTAGAAATATTGGATTAATGAATTTTATAGTATATTTACACATTTATATTTACACATTTATGTATCTATAGTATATTTACACACTCCCTGTGAGTGTGTGGGAGAGCATTTTAAAATCTATTTCTTGTTCAAATAAATCAAAACTTTTATGACTTGACCATAACACAGTTTACTTTTAATTACAACATACCCTAAAACAAAGCAAAGCAAAACCAAATACAAGCAATTCACACACTTAAAGTATAATTTAAGATTTGTACATGCTTACAATCATAATTGTAAATTACTGAGATTTCTCTTAATTTTATGCAAAAAAACCACTAAGATTTCTACTGATATTTCACTAGAATCATTGAACATTGTATTTATTTTCAATCAAACTAATTAATTAAAACTTTAAAGATGTTTTAAAAAGTATGTCATCTAGTTCAATCTGTTCAGTTACACAGATCCTGGGCCTATTATTATTCACTGGCAACTTTTACACTAGAGGCAATAGAAGAGGTGTTGACACTGTTCACACATATAAGTGGAATTCCTTTGTAGTCTTTTGTTAACCTGGAGAATAAATCTCAATGGGTTTTATTTAGAATTTAGAGTTCTAGAGACCCAGTTCTAGCCCAGGCCCGGTGAGTGTGTGGGAGAGCTTCCCACTACCCTGCGCCGTTAGGACCTACTGGTCTCAGCCCAGGTACAGCGAGTGTGAGACCCTCTTCCACCCCCTTGGGCTGCCCCCAACCACTCTGCAGCACCTCCCCCACGCTACCCACCGAGTAGGGATTTCTGCCACATTCCAGGAACCCCCAGAACCAGTCCTAGCCCAGGCCCTGTGAGTGTGTGGGAGAGCTTCCAGCTACCCTGTGCCGCCGGAACCTACTGGTACCAGCCCAGGCACAGAGTGGGTGAGACCCTCTTCCAACCCCTTGGGACGCCCCCCCATGACTCCGTAGTATCCCCCCACATCAACTGCTGAGTAGGAATTTCTGCTGCGTTCCAGGAACCCCCAGATCCAGTCCTAGCCCAGGCACAGTGAGTGTGTGGGAGAGCTGCCTCTCCCCTCTACTCCATCTTATCCCCTCCAGACTCAGCTCAGGTCTGGCATACAGGCCTGGATGAAACCCTGCAGCTGCAATTCCTGCAGAAAGTGTAGGAGACAGAAACACGGAGCTAGTCCAGATGAAGAACATGTTGCCAGAGGGGCACAACAGGTTCACCCCCAAGGTCAGCAACAGGAAAGAGCTGAGCACAGCAGCCAGACCCAAGCCATGCACAGCTGGATAAATCCAAACTTTGTAGATCTGTACCTGAATTTCAGTAGGTGCTAAGGTTATAACTGCAACAAAGATCTACAACAAAGGTCAGAAGTCAGTGCTACACAAAATGACGAGAAGGAACAAAATGCAATCTCAGAACCCAAGCCCACCCATAATAAGTGCAGAGGACACTAACACAGAACAAATTGGGAATCACACAGCTGAAAGCAAGGAATCAACAGCTTCTGAAATAAAGAAACAGCTGCAGAAAGGCATAGAGGAACTCAGATTGGAAATAAAAAAAGAAATCCCTGAATTAATAACATCTGGAGTAGAGAATCAAATGCAGAAACATATGGAGGAAAGCCAATGCCCACCCAGAACAAGTGCAGAGGACACTAACTCAGCTCAAATGTATGAATAGCGTCAATAGTAAATAAGCAACAGCAGAAAGTCATAGAGGATTTCAGAGTGGAATTCTTTTCTACTACCTCAGCTCAAATGTATGAATTAATAGCGTCGATAGTAAATAAGCAACAGCAGAAAGTTATAGAGGAACTCAGAGTGTAATTCTTTTCTGAAATGAAAAAGAATTCTCAGAAATCATAACAACTGAAGTAAAGAATCAACTACAGAAACATAGAGAGAAAACCCAATCTGAAAAAAACACTGCAGTAAAAGAATTTATAACTGCTTCTAAAGAAGACATTGATAAAAAAAAATAGAGGAGATTAGAAAAATGACAGATTCCTTGAGTGAGCAATACAGGAAAGAAATAGATCCATGAAGCAGAGTCAAGGAGATAGAGAGGAAATTAAAATCTCAATCACAAGCTTGCAAAACCATTTAAGTGAAAGTGAAGACAGGGTTTCAGATCTTGAAGACACTGGTGCAGCTAGTGAAAAGGTAAGAAAGGATCTCTTAAAAACAACTAGGATGCAGGAAAGAATAATCTCACCTGCATGATGATGCAAAGATGAACAATGTGAGACTAATAGGTATCAATGAGAAAGAAGGAGTCAATACAAATGACATTAGAATTTAGAGCTCTAACAAGGTGCCATGATCCAACTTTCAGTTTAACATCTACATAAATTCAGTGTAAAGGATATAGATATTCTTTCTGTTCATGCCGTTCCCATCTATGATAGCTAAGATGTTAGGAAGCCACCCACTGGGTCTCTCCATCTTTGTTTGTCTCTGTCTCTGTCTCTGACTCTCTCATTCTCTGTGAGCTTTGCTAGAAAACCTTACTTTCTAACAGAAAAGTGAGCATGAACTTAACATAAGAAAGAGATTTAAGACCTGAGTTTGGGAAGAGCAATCTGTTGCCTTCAATACAACCTACTGTATACAATGTTTCAGTAGTTAATTATGAGAAACAATATCTATGGAACATTTAGAGTCAGGGGACAGCAGCGTAGAACTGTTGAGAGTATTAAGAGTATCTTTAGCAGTTGTTTGAAGAATATATCATGATGCACACCAATTCTTATAATTATGTAGAGTGAAGTTGCTCTCCCTTTTCTCCTCTTCTTTCTATTAATTTCTGTTTTCTGGAGCCATGTTACTTTTATCATATTCCATATGAATAAGAAAATAAATTAAATCTAGTAGTTCAGTATTGTAATCATACCTACATTTATCAGCATTACATTTACAATCTGGAATTAGAAGATCTTCTCTTTAAATGTTCCATGGTTGCCTAGAGGTTGTTCTGCATTTGTGCCAGGAAGACCTCTTACTTAGCATATTCCTTATGTTCTGACCCTTGGTCACCCATGACATTCTGCTTCTCATCCACAAGATTCTCATGTCAGTTCTTATGAGCTGTCACATCAATCATTACTGGTAATTAGCTGGTACTTCTTTATAACCGTGGTGTAAGGGCAAAATCTTATAGAATACATCCACCTCTTTCCTGTCTTCCATACTTTCAAGGTGTAGCCTTTGAGAATGTACAGGCTCTGGATGCATGTGTTTTTCTGAATTGTTTAGTGTGAAGGACTCGATCTTACACAACTTGACATATTGTAGGCTTTGCTGCATATCATTGTCTAGTTTTATAGACTTAACAGAGTCTACTTTCTGAAGTACTTACTTTATTTATTTGCCCAAAGGCATTTCAGGATTGATGTACATCAGACATTCTTTTTCTTCAGGACATTTTATATCATCTGAATATTTGTTTTAATTTTTTATTATGCTTGGGGCTTCATGTTCTGTCAAAATAATTGATATAGGAAAATATAACACCAAACCTGTTAGATGTCAGATTTGGTGAGTTCATGCACAGCTGAAAATAAAGGAAGAATTTCAAGGAACAATGCAGGTGAACAGTAGAAAATGTTCACTGAGAGAAAGTTCCTAAGAGAGTTCCTAAGAGTTCCAAATGCTTTGCCACTGAGGCCTTTTGTTAAGGATCATTTATACAGCAAAGGCATAGCATATGTGCAATGTGTCAAACTGCAACCACCCTATAGGACTACAAGTCTAGCTGCTTAGCAAATATTGACCCAATTGCAAAACCAGTCATGTAACAGAAAAAAAACATGGAAAGAACAAAGGTATTATCGGTAAGGGATGATGGGTTCAGATGCTCTGGCCAGCCATCCGCGAAACATGCCCATTTGGACTTCCTGGACCAGGTAGTGCTAATTATAGAACAATCCCAAGTTACTTTTCAGGATAGCAATACTCAGTACAAAAGCATGTTGCGCACTTGATGTTGGGGTAAACTGTTACGTGGTTAAGGAAAAGGAAAGGGAAGGAAAAGGAAAAGAAAAATGAAAATAAGAGGAAGAGGTCATGCTTTGATGACAAACAATATTTTTCCAGATGAGCGAACATGAAATTGTTGCTCATTGTATTATAGTTAATGATAGAAAGAACAGTTGTATTTGTTTCATTTATGTTTTAATTACTTGAAGCCCTGCTATTACCTAGAAGAGCACAAAAAGCTGATATGAATTTGTTGGTAAGAACCAATTGTGAAATTGTTCCAAACTTAATCATTATGGCACTAATTTGATTGCCTTGTGGTTGTTGGTAATGTGGAATTACATTTTAACCATTTAGAATAGCACTTCACTGAGATTTGTATTCATTTCTACAAATCTGAGGCCATGCTCCTCTGAGGAATTACACTAGCTCAGAATTTATCAGTTTTCTGGGTACAGCTATGTACACTTATACTCCTCGCTACTCGGGAGGTTGAGGTAGGTGGTACCTTGAGACCAACAGTTTAAGACTAATTTAGGTATCATATAAACACCTAGATCTCCAAAAACAAAAACAAACAAACAAAAA